CCACTTTGTCTTCCGTTTGTCAGCCTTTGGTTGATATATCATTTTATTTTCAGTCTGTGTCTTTTAAATTTAAGACCAGTATTGCAAAGCAAAGGACCTTGCTTTTCTTCCTGAGCAAGACTGAAATGTGATTTTTAGGAGGGGAATTTAACTTACTCATATTTTGTGTTATAATATATATTTTCAGGCAGTTTCATTTCATATTTCCTTTATATTTTTTATTTTTCATAAATTTTATGTACTGATCAAATTTTTGTTTTATATACTATACATCTTATTTCTCTTCTCTATATCATCTTTAAACCTTTGAAAACAATACCTTTTTGGACACATATTTTCCTATCTGTTCTATGATGGAACAGTATTCATGAACTTGCCCACAGACAAAATTATAGTATGGGTTTATTTCTTACTCAAGAAATTGTTGAAATACTTTGGAATTTTATTTCCATTTAGTGTGTTTACACACTAACTGCGTCATTCCATTCCTCTTACTGCTTGATCAGTGGGCTGGAGTCTTTTCCATCTCTAAGGCATTGAGGTAGCAGGAGGCAAGACTCTAGCAGATCAAAGCCAACAGGCTGGATGAAGAGTGCTGGGTTCTTCAGAATTAAACAGCTGGATGGAGAATGGAATCTTCGGGGAGTTGGAGTTGAGTTATAGGGGCCTTTTGAGTTGGGACCAGGGTAGCACCTCCTTGATCTTTTGGTCACCCTCATTTATTTTCTTCTAGTGCAGACAACTTTTACTTTTCCTGGCTCATATGGAACTGAATACAGCCCTTTTAACTTTGCCTTAGTAGTTCTTTCCAAATCAAGTATGCATTTATTTTCTGGTTTTCTCAGTTGTGTTTATTGTTCATTTAAATGGGGATATTACTAGAAGAGGAAGAAGATGCCTTCTATTTTGCCTTAAATTCTTATATTTTAGATTAGATACTATAAAGATAAAATTCACACTCAGATATGATTATTTTTAAAAGTGTGGTTTTTTAATTACAACTTTATTAAAATTTGATTCACACGAACCATTAGAGACGATGGACTCTGAAAAACAAACTGAGGGTTCTAGAGGGGAGGGAGATAGTAGGAAGGGAAAAATGAAGGAGGGGAAAAAACAATGAATCATGGAACACTACATCAAAAACTAATGATGTAATGTATGGTGATTAACATAACAATAAAAAATTATTTAAAAAATAAAATTTGATTCACAGACCATAAAATACATTTTTTTAAAGTGTACAATCTACTGGTTTTTAGGATAGTCATAAGTGGGCAACCATCACCACAGCCTAATTTTAGAACATATTCATTGCCTGCGAAGGAAAGTCCATACCCATTGGTAGTCACTCCCCATCTCCCCCTCCATTCAGCCACTGCTGACCACTATTTGCTGTCTCTAGGAATATGATTACTGTGGACATTTCATATAAATAGAATCATACAGTGTGTGTCCTCTTGTGATTGGCTTCTTTCACATTGCATAATAATTTCAAGGTTTAGCCATGTTGTAGCATTAATCTACTTAATTCCTTTCTATTACCAATAATTGTAAGGATATATCACATGTTGTCTGTTCAGAGACATTCATTGTCTATTCAGTTGATGGACATTTGGATCATTTCTACTTTTTTGGCTTTTATGAATAGAACAGCTATGAACATTCATGTACAATTCTGTGAGGACACATGTTTTCCTTTATTTGGTTATATATCTTGGAGTGGAATTGGGTCATAGGACAATTTGATGTTTATTATATTTTTTTAATATTTTATTTATTTTTGCAAGAGAGAGAGAGCATGAGCAGGGGAGAGGGGCAGAGGGAGAAGCAGACTCCCCGCTGAGCAGGGAGCCTGATGCAGGACTCAATCCCAGGACCCCAGGATCCTGACCTGAGCCAAAGGCAGACGCTTAACCAACTGAGCCACCCAGGTGCCCCTTGATGTTTAACATTTTAAGAAACTGCCAAACTGTTTTACAAAGCAATTGTAACAATTTAAAATCTTATCAGCAATGAATGAGGGTTCCAGTTTCTCCACATCCTTGCTAACTCTTCTTGTAATCTTTTTTATTATACTATCCTAGTGAGTATGAAGTAATAGGTCATCGTAGTTATTATTTGCATTTCCCTGATGACTAATGATGTTGAGTACCTTTACATGTGCCTATTGTCAGTTTGTATGTCATCTTTGGAGGAAGGTCTGTTTGAAACATTTGTTGATTTTAAAATTTGGCTGCCTTAAAAAAAAATTTGGCTGCCTTTTTATTTTTGAGTTGTCACTGTTCTTTATATATTCTGAATAAAATTATTTTGTTAGATATGCAATTTGAAAATATTTTATTTCATTCTGAGATTTCTCTTTTCAACTATTGGAAAATAGTTCAATTTTGATGAAGTCTGTTTTATCTAATTTTTCTTTTGTTACTTTGGCTTTTCAGTGTTATATCTTTTTTTCTTCTTAAAGATTTTATTTATTTATTAGAGAGCATGAGCAGGGGCAGGAGTAGAGGGAGAGGGAGAAGCAGACTCCCCCCTGAGCAGGGAGCCTGATGTGGGGCTCGATCCCAGGACCCTGAGATCATGACCTGAGCTGAAGGCAGATTCTTAACAACTGAGACACCCAGGTGCCCCTTCAGTGTTGTATCTATGAAAACATTACATAACCCAAGGTCATGGCGAATTATTCTTCTGTTTTCTCCTAAAATCATGTAATTTTATCTCTTACATTTAAGTCTATGGCTTATTTTGAGTTATTTTTTTTTAATACGGTGTAAGGTAGGGCTCCATCCTCATTTTTCTGCATGGGTATATCTACTTATACCAGCACCATTTATTGAAAAGAATATTGCTTCCTCATTGAATTGTCTCGGTACCCTTGTTCAAAATCAATTGGCCATAAACAGAAGTATTCATTTCTGTTACCGTGGTCTTAGAGAATGTCTTGGGAAGTACTCATATTCATACATATTGATATATATATTAATATAACGATATTTATATAGCGATTGATATTAATTCTTCACAAAATGTTTAGTAGATTTCACCAATGAGTGCATTTGGGTTTTGGCTGTTCTGTGTGAGAAGTTTTTTGATTACTACTTTAGTTCACTGAAATTCTTACATGTTTAGATTAATGGTTTTTTTTAATTAAATTTTTTAAACTAAAATTTGGATGCTTTTGGCCATTATTTCTTCAAACAGTGTTTCTCCCTCTCCGTCTCTTCTCCATCCGAGGGATTCTTATTTTGCATATATTGGTATTCCTCATGATGCCCTATAGATCTCTGAGGCTCTGTTCATTTTTCATTCTTTTTTGGAAAACAAGTTTATTAACATGTATATATCATGTATACATGTATATTTCATGTATACATGGGAGATAACTCAGAGGAAAATGAGTAAGTCTCAGAGGTGGCTTAAAATTCAGGTTTAAATACCATCTTCAGCTAAAGACAAATCAAAGCCTTTTTTCTTTCTGTTCCTTAGAATCAGTAAATTCAACTGACATTTTTTCATGTTGGCTGATTCTTTGTGTAGCTAGTTCAAATCTACTGTTGAATCCCTATAGTGAATTTTTCATTTCAGTCATTGTATTTTTCAACTCCACTACTTAAATATATGTTTATGTATATTCATATGTATATATGTCCAATGCTTGAACTTTCTCAGGGACAGCTTCTGTTGACAACCTTTGCGTGTGTATGGATCATTCATTATTGACTTAGGATTTTTTTCAGTTATACCGGTAAGATCTTGGCCTTGTTCTTTGGGCTATCCTGTAGCATCTGCCATTTTCTTCTAGCAGGCATTAGGAATGGATTATACTTTGCTTCTGCCCTTTTCTTTTCTTGTAATCTGACTGTGGTGTAAGCCTCTTATCCCAAGCCATGGTCAGGGCCTTTGTGTCTCATTCTCTTTTCTTTGCCTTGTAGACACATCCTTTGCCATCAATATCACCTAAGTCGGGTGGGTCTACATAATTCCACATGGCTAGACCTGTTATACTGGCCACCACGCAGAGCTGCCTTATAAGGTCAGGGCCTTCAAGAGTTTTAGTGAGGTGGTTTTTACTTTTCACTCCCCCTTTCTTATCTCTTCCTTGGACCCCCACAGGGACAGTGGCTGGGGCTGTGATAGAATATGTGACCCATACTGATCTCTAAGGGAATCTCCAATCCCTTCTGAATCCAAACCATTGTTCTTGAATCTAATTTAGGTGGGTAGACTCTCACTTTCCTTGAATAAGATTGTTCTCAGTTCTCATGTAAATAGCTTCGATGTTTCACACCCCAGGGGGCACATAATTTAGAAAGTTCCCAACATGAGAATCCCTGCTGCATAAAAATATAGAATTTTTCTGGTAATGAGCTTCAGGAAGTGAGGGTATTGACAACTAGCTTCTTTAAGCAGACTGAAGCAAAGGAACAGCAGGAAGGTGCTTGAAAACACATCTATGAAGATTTTTTTTTCTCCTTTTTGAGGAACTCTATCCTGGTATTTGTCTTTAATTTAAAGCATCTGCTTCAGTACCTTTACAGTTTATATGCCTTAACTAAATAAGCACACCAAATGCCATTTCCAGACTATTTTTCTATTTAAAAGGATGTTACAGTAACTTACCTATTATTCTTCTTAATTATTCTTACTTGCAAAGCAACATTAGGATTGCAGTCTCTGCTATATGCTGTTTGGGCCCATCCAGATTCCCATTACTGGGTATTCCCATCCATCTCTCAGTTGTGGGTATTGGCTTCTGACGGGCTATATCTGTCCATTTCTCTAGAAGGGTGCCCTTAGTAGAAGGAGGTATCTAGGAGGGTAAGCTTCACCAGCGCTACTACCTCAGCTGGCCCAACTAACTCTCCCTCAGCTGAGACAGCCTCTGGTGAATTCACATCCCATAGCTGCGTACGGGATCAGTTTGAATCTGGATTATAAAACTACAACTTTTCATAACTTCTTGCCCTCCTCTGTTTTGTTTCCTTCTTCACTTACAGGTTCTTCCTGAGGGCATGCCCTCCGTAAATCACTTGCGTCAGAATCCTTGGGACAGTACTGTTTTACACATCTAACACAAATGTGGCAATCTAAATTAAATACCAAGAACTAGCTATGTTATCAACAGAAAAGGCAGAATAAGAACCTATTATGGCTTTTAAGCTTTTTAGATTTCATTCAGCTGTATATTTTCTCAGTAATATGCTGTTAGCACTGCGTTGCTTTAACTCAGTGTCCCCGTACCTCTATTAGCATGACATTTTAGTTTTTTGTTTTTTCAGCATGGCATTTTATAATCATTTTAGTTTTAATGGCGAGAAACAGTACGTAGAGTACTGTGATTGATAGATTTAAAAATGTTTCATCTTTTATTATCTCTGTTTAGAACTCTGAAAATATAATAGAAAACATCGTATACTCTCCCCATTCTGAAGTTTATTTTGTAAAATTAATTAGGTTTCATTATGTATTTCTGTGTATTTCTTCTCAGTTTCTGTTATGTCTGGTCCTGAAAGAAATTACGGGAAAGCCAGTCCAGCTAAAGCCACCATATGTATTTCTGTATAGAGCTTCTCCTTTATGTCTGTATCAACATTTTTATCCAGATGAAATAAAATAGATTATCTAGAAGGAAATAAGTAACATTTCCATTTGACTTTTCCTTCAGCATGGGGCTAAGCCTAAGCAGTCAAATCTATGAGTTGCCTTCTTAGGATTTCAACCTCGCTCTTAAGAAAAACGTATCTGTAACACATTTATATAACTTAACATCTCAGATGAGAGAGAAGGACCACCTGAGCTTAGAAAAATGTGTTACCAAACATCCAGTAGTCTTAGGTTACACAGAGAATCCCCTTCTCCATGACCCCAGAAACGTTTACCAGGTGTGAAACCCAGAAATAATCTCAAAATAGCCCATTCAAAATTCATAATTCAGTAAGTCCTAATTAAAACCTTGCTTAACTTTGGAAGTAATGAACTTGATTTTCTTTCTCCCCAAAATAAATTTTACAATATCAGATTCATTAAATGAAACAATCATTTCTCTATGGATTTACAGTTTTAAACACATAAATTCTATTATTATTCATTTTCTCAGCTCAAGGTATAGATATAGTCTCTCATGTTTTCACATAGTCTTTCCAGTGCTCATCTGTCATGATTAGTAGGAAGTCACTAATTCACTTCCCTCTCCAGCCACCTCTCATTTTCCAAGGATCCTAGACTATATGAACAAGTAAAAGACTGATTGGACCAAGTGAAGGCACCCAGCACAGAGAAATCTAGGGGCTATGATCAGTTCAATGATACCTTGTTTTTGTGTATGGTTCACAGTGTGTCACTTCTGAACATATGTCATCCAGCACTCATCATGTGCTCTGGTGATACTCTCGGTGACCCTGATCTGTGCCAGGTCATTCTGGTGTCTAGTTTTTGAATTCAAAGATATTACCTTGAGTTCATACTCACCAGATCATATTTTTCTCTCTATGAGACACTGTGTTTGGGCATTTGGGTCTAAAAAGGGCATTGGCGGCTTGCTGAGATGGAACCTGTTGTCTGGGACTAGCCTGCAGCCTGAGATGCTGAGCCCTTTTCTCCAACACAGACTGCCTTACCTCATAGTGAGTTGCCACATGGGAATTTCCTGCCTTTTCCTACCAGGTGAAATTGGCCAGTCAACCCTGGCAGCTTTCCATAAACTTAAAAATCTGGGAGGAACAACATTCCTTTCTTCTCCGCACACCCATTTCACAGTACTAGTCCCCTGAGATCCTTATGGCAACTATCTGACCTCATCTTCATATTGCATATACCAAAGGGATGGGCAGCTCCTGTTAAGGCACAGAAAAGAATCAAAAAAAGAAGTCCTGTTGCACTGTTTCCTCCAGGTATAGGTATTTTCCAATAATAACGAAAATTTGCTTTAAGGAGATTCGCCCTATTTCTAGGCATAGTGCACTTTAGCATATTTTTGATTCAGTGACACTTCATTAACATGTTTTAAGTTCCTTGGCAGGATAATTCCAGTTTCTGGGTAATCTATTCTCCATTGAGCTGTAACTTCGTAGTACATTTTAATATTTAGTAAAGTTTAAACTATGTAAATGTTTTTTGTGTATGTGAACAAATCTAAGATACTTTTAAAAAATTGTTTTTCATTAGATCATCCTAGAAAATACACAGCTGATATTCCCATTCGTCTAAATGATAATCCAGTTTGCTATCGAACGTTATGTTTGGTTGGAGAGGTGAAATCACCCATGTTATTGTTTGACCCTCCATTCATATTTTTTACTCCTGTTCCTCTGGATGTAACAACTGTGATGGATATCAACATTTTACCTCAAAACTATTACAGGTAAATGCTTAATGTGAATTTACCACATTTTCATTTAAAGCCCACTTAATTACCTCACAGTTAGTCATTTGATTTTCTTGTAAAAAAATTTGATATGTCTCTCTTAATGGTACAAGAAGCAAGCTTTCTATTTCTATGTGACAAATTACCACAGACTTAGTGCCTTAAAACATAAATTTGTTATCTCGTAGTTTCTTTGGGTCAGAAATCCAGGTTTGTTTAGCTGCTGCTCCACTGTTTTTGTTCTCAGTAGGCAGAAATCAAGGTACAGACTATAGCAGCTGTCTCATTGGAGGCTCAGTCCTCCTGCAAGCTTTCTGGTAGTTGGCAGGATTAATCCGTTTAGTTGGAGAACTAAGGTATCATTTTCTTGTTGGCTGTTGGCTGGGATCACTCTCAGCTCTTAGAGGCCATCCTCACATCCTGGCCAAATCCTCCTCCCATCATGGTACTTTACTCATTGAAAGCCAGAAGCAGACCATCTTTTGACTTCTCAGTCTCTGACCTCCAAACCTTCTTTTAAGATCTTACCTGATTAAGTCTAATCCACCCATGATAATCTTCCTTTTGTTTTACTTGAATTTATTTAACTAGGGATGTCAATTACATATGGAAAGTCCCTTTACAATGGCTGTATAAGACAGCTGATTCACCAAAGTGATATCATATTTACAGATTCTGCCACCCAAGGGGTGGGAATTAGAGTTTGTATGTACACTAAGGCTCTTGGGGACCATCTCAGAATTCTGCCTATCACATGTACATAGTATAGCAGAATGCAGTCTGTTTTCATTTTTTAAAAAAATTTAGCAGCAGCTGAAACCCTAATAGTATATTGCCCTAGATACATTATGTACCCTCGTGTTACAAAACAAGTAGATTATGTGTGTGTTTAATTAATTAGTTAATTAATTAATTGCTGGCTTCTGAGAAATGTGGGAGGTCTCCAAAGGGCTCAGATCAAACCAGACCAAACCAGCACATACTTACAAGCTGAAACCAGAGTAGGAGTGGTGAGCTGTAATAATCTGCCAAATGGAGGCTTGTTCTTAAAACTTGAGACAAATTCTTCAAGGTAGGAAAACAATCTCAAATTCCTGGATTAATCCAGGGACACTGGAAGAGGCTAAAATAGTTCACGTGAGTAAATCCCTCTACCTTTCAGCAGAAGCAAGCAAATCTTCTCTAGATCAGTGGTTCTTAAACGTCGGTGTATATCAGCATCACCTGAGACACTTTTTAAAATAGAGATTGTTGCTTCCCATCCCCAGAATTCATGATTCAGGAAGCCTGGCATGGTATGTAATAATTTGTATTTCTAGTAAGTTTCCCAATGATACTTAGGCTGCTGATGCATGGACCACACTTTGTGAACCTCTGTTCTAAATGAAGCCATCCTCAGTTTTGGCTGATATTTCAGTTTCCACAATTGCTATCAACCAGACATGAGTGTAATATCAAGTATTGCAAAACTCACAAGAAGGGAAGATGCCATCATTTAGAGTCAGCACAAAAAACCATCTTGAAATTTAGACTCTTAAGTCAGTCAGATATTGGAATTATCAGACACAGAGTATAAATAATTTTTTAAAACAAGATAGCATTATAAAAATTAATAATTAACATGGAATTATACAGTATAGAGTTGAAAATGAACCAAATATAACTTTTAGGAATTTTAAAACAAAGTGTGTAGGGTAAATTTTTAAGGGCATCCACAAACCTAAGATTGTATATAACTACACAGACAGTACAGAAATCAACAGAATCTCAGTTAATTTTGTAAGAGAGAAAAAGAGACGCATACTTTAAAAAGCAAGAAAAAACTGAAACAGAAATGATGGCAAAAACTCTAAGTAGTTGAGTAATACAATCAAATGTAAATAAGTTACTCTGACTAGTTAAAAGACAGAGAATGTTAGAGTAAATAAAAAAAAAATCCAACTGTCTGTTAAAAGAAGTATATGTGAGACATAAGGAAAAGAAAGATCGAAGTAAAGCAGGGTTTCTCAACTTCAGAACTGTTGACATTTTTGGAAGATATTTCTTTTTTTTCACCGGAGGCTATTTTGTACATGTTTAGCAGCCTCCCTGGTCTCTAGCCAGTAGCATCCTCCCCCAGTTATGACAGAAAAATAAAAGTCTCCACACATTGCTGCATGTCCCCTGGGATGCAGAGCCACGCCCAGTTGAGAACCACCAAACTGAAATCTTAGGAAGAGTTATAGCAGAATAACCATAAGAAAGCTGGATAGCAGTATTAATTTTACATGTGATAACCTTATTTAAGAGGTAAGACGTATTTTTAATATTAAAAATACATTAAATAATTATAAAAGATGCAGCTCACCTGAAAACTATCAGAATTCTAAAATTGTATGCACAACTAAAATAGTCTTAAAATATATAAACCCCAAATTAAAATAATAGGGGGAGGGCGCCTGGGTGGCTCAGTTGGTTAGGCGACTGCCTTCGGCTCGGGTCATGATCCTGGAGTCCCGGGATCGAGTCCCGCATCGGGCTCCCTGCT